GAAAATCTTTCTCTACTATATACATATTTAAAGACTGGAGATATGGAGCGAGCAGAAATAATACTAAATAGATTACATAATTCTGTACCAAAGGATATAAAGCATTACTCGGACATAAATGCAAAATTGTATACCTTATTATGTGTAAAACGTACTGAATCCAATCATTATTTATCATTGCTCATTGAAATATGTTTATACTTGTACCTTTGATATTTTGGTTTATATATTTTTTATTGCCTGCTCATCACATTAGATATGTTAGGAACCTACATTATTTCGAAAAAAATTTATTTAAATATGATAGATAGATGAACAACTCTACACCTTCAGATCCAATTATTAATTGACTTCACATAATTATATGAAGAAATTATATCTATGCAAACAAATTGATAGTTATTATAATATCTAATACCTTTAAATTGTATTTTCTATTTTTTGTAATAAAAGTCTTTTTATTTAATTTTCATTTTTGGAATATTCGCTCAATTCTTTATATAGTACATTTCCTAATGTAATGAATGCCATCCAAAACTTATTGACCAACACTCTCATAAAATAATAATAACCGTATGAAAGATTAGTGTATTTTACACTTATTTAACCACTTATCAAGCAACATGGGAGACATAAAGAATTCTTCTGAACATAAGAAAATATTCCTTGAAGCTTTAATGGTAGAGTTTTATTTTATTTTTAGTAGTGAGGTTCAAGTTTATTATGAACAAATGAATAATAAATACAATCATCATTATTAACACAATTATTATCATCGTCGTCTCATATTTATCATCTCATTCAAATACTAAATGATTTTATTAAGTCCTTCCGTCTCCAAGTATAGAAAATAACAATTGGGTTTAGCGTAACGTCGTTGAATTGGTTTAAAGTTTATAATTTATTTATTTATTTCCAAAATTGGTATCACAATATTCTTGTGTAACTATCGTTACCAATCATTCTATTAATTTGTTTCCAAACGTTTTTTTTTTTACATATTTCATGTCAAAAATTATACAAATAATATACAACATGCTAAAAATAATAATATTAATTAATGTAAATATTTTTATTTTTATTTATAAAAATTGTTTTCCTTTCTTTCTCTTATTATTATTTATATTATATTAATTATATTGATTGATAAAGGAAAAAAATTAAAAAATTAAACATTCATTTTTTTTCGATTTCTCTTACTTCACCTTTTCATCCTTGTTTTCGCACTCCTATTTCCCCTCCTCTCTTGTCTCCTAAAAATACTAATCAACTTCCACTTTATACGCACACACGCACGCACGCACGCACGCACGCACGTGCACATTAATTAGATTGATTAAAGGAAAATTATATTAAAAGGGAAGGAATTTTTTATTAATGATATAGATCCTAAAAATCGCAATTTTTTCCTTGATTCCTTCCACTCCTAATACACACAAAATTTTTGTGAAAATAAAAAAAAAAACGATGATTCTTTTAATAATATTATTATTTGTAACGACTCTGGAAATCCCACGAGCAATTAGTGAAAAAATTTCAATTCGTATGCTTATATACTAAAATTTTCATTTATTCGTCCAGTTTTCCACAATAATAACAATAATCATAATAATTTAAATATTAGATCAAAACAATACGAGAAGGTCGCCACAAAAGCCTCCAACACCTCCAGCACCTCCAGCACCTCCAGCACCGCCAGTTGCACCAGTTGCACCGGTTGCACCGGTCGCTCCGATTGCTCCCAAAGGACCTAACGATCCAGGAGTTCCGGGAAAGCCGGGAATTCCGGGAAAACGTAAAAAATCTCGTTCTTTATTTATCTATATGCCAACATATTGAAGACCTGATTTCGTGAATTAATTTAAAATTTTTCTTATACAGCTGGTAAGACAGGAGGTACAAACCCGGATCCACCTCCAAAAGATAATACCGAACAGCCAGAACCATCTTCAACAGAGGATGATCCAGCAAATCAAACGCAACAACCACAACCGCCACCATCGTCGCCACCACCACAAGATAATACTACACTAAAACAACAACAGTCATCATCATCATTACCAATATTAACTTCAATTTTATCGCAAACAAATAGCATTGGTAAGTGGTAGTTTACATCATATTATTAATGATTTAATGTTAATTTTAATAACAATATTCTTTTATTATTATGAATAGATTCAACTGAACCAACTTTACCATTGGTAAATAATAATAATAATAATAATAACAATAATAATAGTTCATCAAATAATAATAACAATACATCAACAATTGTTGCAATTTCATTAAGTTCTTTAATATTAATATTAATAATTACGGGTTTATTAATATTTATTAAAAAACGTAAAGCAAATAATATTAGAAATGGAAATAATAGAGATACATCAAATAGTAATACACTATATAGTGAAGAAGGAGATGATGATAAAGTGGATTATGATGGTGGTGGTGGTGATGATGATGATGATTCATTTGGTAAAAAACTTACTCAAAATGGAACAGAATTTCTAAATCGACAACAGCAGCAGAAACAACAATTAGAAGACGAAGAAGTGTCTAATGGAATAATGGTTACTAAAATACATTCCGTAAGTATACATCATGAAGATTTTACATTAGATGAATTTGACGATAATGGAATCGCTGCTAGCTTTAAAAGTGCTGGAACTGGAACAAACGAATCCGACGATACTAATAATGAAAATGGAGGATATCTTGATGGTGAAGCTAAAAGTAGAATAATGAGGGAACGATTAACCACAAGTATAACAAGTAGTGTATCCACTCTGAGTAATAATAACGATAAAACTAATAGAAATAGCTTTAATAGCACGATAAGTAATTTAACGATTAAAGAAGAATTAAGAAAAGCAAACGTTAAATTTTATATATGAAGTGGAAAAAAAAGCGAGCAATTAAAATGTTTATTTATTTATTATTCATTCATTATTCGATGTGTTGTCTCTCAAATATATATATAAAATAAAATAAACAATAATCTAATTACCACAAAAAAACAAATGTTTTTAACTAATAATAACTAATAATATACTTTGGAAAGTTTTAACACACCTTTAAAAGTTCCAAATTCACATATATTGACTGTACTAAGGATACTTGTCTATAATCATTGTCAAAAGTTGTGGCCAGTATCCTTATTGACATTTCATGTTGTTAATTCGAGATATGCAATTATATATAGAGGTACTTATAGAATTAGCATGTCAACTAACTTTCTTTCCTTGTTACGGAAATGTATTAAACTATCAAATGACTTTGAGACACATTCAACCATTTTTAACAACGGGAATTGAAACAAATCCAGGTTTTTTAATAATATTATAATCAAGTAACTTTGACAGAAATTCAAATGTCTTTATGTATGTTAAATAACAACTAAATTGTAAAGACAATTATTCTATCATTGTAATAATGTTGGAGATTAGACATTAAATCTCATTTGAAAGTGCTCATACTTTCATTTTTTTTTTTTTTTTTTCATTGACTAATAAATTTTGTAAAATTGTATAGTTCTAAACAGCAAATCAAATAATGATAATAATAAGGATTACGTTAAAGTAAAAATACTAAAAAGAACTTTTTTTTTTATTATTAAGAGAAAATTTCGTTTAAAATCCGTTATTATTATTATTATTATTATTATTATTATTATTATTATTATTATCATTACTAATTAATATGTTTTTATATGTGAAGCAAAAATTTTATAACGCGAAATCGGCTGTGACAAGGTTTGACTTGAGCTAAGCAAAAAATTGTTTTTCTCAGCCCCAAAATTTTTTAGTAGTAGTAGTAGTAGTAGTAAGTAGTATTTCTTTCGATTTTTATCTTTTTTGTTTTTAAAAAAAAAAATGTCCTCAGAAAAAATTCGTAAAAGACCAGTAGTCAACAAAGAAATAAAACATAAAGATGAATTTATAAAAATTTTTGATGATAAAAAAATAAAAAGTAAAAAAAACAAGGCAAATAAATAAATTCTTTTATAATTATTATATTTTTTTTTATTCTATAAATAAACAAATTTTTAAAAATAAAATTTTTTAATAAGGAACTAATTGATATAAAAAAGTACTTTAAAAATCCAAAAGCTTTATCATTAATCATTCCATCAATACTCACATTATTGTCATTTATTACAAGATTTTATAAAATTTATCATCCAAATCAAGTTGTGTAAGTTATAAATCAGATTCAATAAATTGCCTAATCAAATTCAAATCCAAATCAATTATCAATTAATTTTTTTTAAAAAAAAAAACTGTTTAGATTTGATGAAGTTCATTTTGGTAAATTTGCTAGCTATTATCTCCGTAGAACTTATTATTTTGATGTTCATCCACCTCTTGGAAAATTAATGATCGCTGGAATGGGTTGGTTGCTTAATTATGATGGGCATTTTTTATTTGAACATATTGGTGACGATTATTTAAAAAATGACGTACCTTATATTGGATTAAGATCATTACCTGCTACACTTGGAGCCCTTTATGTACCTTTAGTTTATTTGATAATGATGGAATCTGGTTATAGTATTTTTACAGCAATCCTAGCTGCTATATTAATCATTTTCGGTAAGAGTTGTCATCTATACATAACCCCGGCTCAAATTAGTGAAAGCCAAGCCAATTTAAAAGCCAAATATGAGCTAGAAATTGAAGCTGCTCAACAAGCAAGCTTAAAGTTAAAAAAAGACTTGACCGACAAAGACGATGTTGAATTATAATGTATATATGGATATTTATTAATTTATGTTTTCTGTATAGATAATTTGCTAGTTTGTCAAACACGTTTAATTCTACTTGATTCGATGCTAGCATTTTTCATGCTATGTACAATTTATTCTTATATAAAATTCTATAAATATCGATTTAGGTAAATGGAAAGCTATTATTACCTTTAATTGGTTTTTTTATTTTATTTAAATAAGAATTTATTTTATTAGAGAATTTTGTAATGAATGGTGGTTTTGGTTAATAATGACTGGAATTTCACTTGGATTAACATTAAGGTAATTTTTATAATGACCTTCATATAACGATATATACATCAAAAAATTTAAATTTGATTTAAATATAATTAACTCAAAACGCGTATATATTTATTTTAGTGTAAAGATGGTTGGTTTATTCACAATACTTATGATTGGTACAGTGGTGATTATTGATTTATGGGAATTATCAGATATAAGGCGTGGATTAACATTAGTAAGGAATGATTTATTGAAAATAAAACATATATTTTTAATGATAATAATAATAATTTTTTTTTTCATTTTTAATTTTTTTAAAAAAAGGAACAATTTAATAAGCATTTTTTAGGGCGCGCATTTGGATTAATAATTGTTCCTATAATTGTTTATTTATTTTGGTTTTATATTCATTTTGCAATATTAAATACCAGTGGACCAGGTGATACATATATGAGTCCAGAGTTTCAACAAACTTTATATAATAATTCCTTGCTACTTGAAAGTGAATCAATCAACTACAATGATACAATTACTTTAAAACATAAAGGTACAAAAGTATATTTACATTCACATACTCAAAGATATCCAAGAGTTTATGATGATGAACGTATAGGCAGCGCAGGACAACAAGTAACTGGTTATCGTTTTCAAGACGCCAATAATCATTGGAGAATAATTTCACCACCATCATCAATACCTCTACAACAAAGACCCGAAAATGGTTTGATTAAACATAAAGATTTCATTATGTTAGAACATGTAAACACCAATACACTGCTGCTAACTCATGACGTGGCAAGTCCGTTAATGATTACAAATCAAGAAGTCACAACTATAAACATCACTGAAAATTATGATAGAATAAATGATACTATATTTCAAGTTTTTATTGAAAATGATGATAATTGGAAAACTAAATCAAGTTATATAAAATTGATACATTGGAAAACTAATGTTGCAATATGGACACATGATGCTAAATTACCAGAATGGGCATTTAGTCAACAAGAAGTTAATGGAAATAAACAGATTACTAAAGATTCTAACATTTGGATAGCAAATGAAATAATTCGTGCAAATGGTATTTATTATTATTCCTATTAACAAACAAATTAATGGTTAATCACATTTTGAATAATAATAATAAACAACCTTTTTTTGTAATTATAACTAGTAACAAGGTCATTAGAAACAAAAAAACCAATACACAGTATGTCATTTATAAGGAAATTTTTTGAATTACAACTGTTAATGATCGAGCGCAATTCCAGAATTGTATCACCCCATCCTTATCAAAGCCGGCCAATCGATTGGTTATTTTTAACAAGTGGTATATCATTCTGGACAAATAAGGAAGAAAGGCAACAAATTTATTTATTGGGTAATCCAATCAGTTGGCTACTTTCTGTTATTTCTATTTTCACCTTGATATTATTGATTAGTGTAGAAACAATTATTAGAAGACGTGGTGTCAAACTGTTTAACGATTGTAAGTATTTTAAAAAACATATTTATTTATTATTCATTCATTGGTAATAACAACAACAACAACAATAATAATATTTTTAAATGAATTTTTAGTTGTTTGGCATAGATTGGTTAATTCTGGTGGCTTTTTTTTGTTAGGATATTTATTTCATTATATACCATTTTTCTTAATGGGCAGATCACTATTTTTACACCATTATATACCTGCATTAATATGCAGTCACATAATAACGGCTACAACATTTAATTTAATATTCGTAAATTCTATAAATTATCCAATTTCTTTTATAAATAAAAGCTCTTCGTGTCATCATCATCAATTATCAGAAGAAGAAGAAGGATTAGTAGAATTTCAACAACAATCATCATCGTCACTATCGTTATCATTATCATCATCACTGCCATTAATAATGGATGATGAATTGACCAAGAATAATCAAAGTATTAATGATAATAAGAACAAGAATAATAAATATTTTAAACAAAAAATAATAACAACAAATTCATCAATTACCAAATCATCAATAATTATTTGGTCGATTATTATAATATGTATAATTTCAACTTTTATATATTTCTCACCACTGACTTACGGCACAGAATTAGATGGTTGGCAAGTTTATAGAAGAATGTGGTTGGATAGTTGGAATTTTCATTTTCAACCAAGCAAAGATGAATTAACACAAAATTAAACATCGTTATTTAATTATTATAACCATTGAATCTATTTTTTTCATTAGATTGTAAATATAGTTATTTTACTATTCGTTCATTCATTTATTTATTTAAAAAAAAAATCTAATTCTAACAATTTTATAAAACATAAACCAATCAATCCAGTGTTGGCAGGCGACAATGACTTTTGATGGCTGGTCATGCATAAGTCATTTGATCATTTTATTCTATAAAATAAAAAATAAAGAATTAATTTAATCTCATTTCATAGATCATAAACATGTAATATAGTTATTAATAAGTTAATATCAGGCATTTGTGACTTAAAATAAATATCTGTGTTTTATGAAAGTTATATTGTTCAAAATGAACTTTCATAAGTTTAACTTATACATTCGCTAACTTAATTATACCTTCGCTAAGAATTTGAACTTTGTTAATAATACAAGCCTTTCTTTATCAATGGCCAAATTTTCATATTCAAAATTTGTACTAACATGTAAAACTCGATAAGTCGGACGCAGCAATCAATTGTACTCGACTTGTCGAGTTTTACATGTGTATGTAGATCTTCTACCCTTAATTTTTTTACCACTAGACAAAAGTCTGGCGCATTTTAAACAAAAATTGCGCAAAAACGCACACAATAAAAACACAAATAACTTATATCATTTTATAGCTTAGGTTCTCAAAATTTTGCATGCAAAATTTAAAACTTTTATATGCCTAAGAAAAAATCCGACCAAAAATTTTTCTGATAAAAAAAAATTTAATTGAACAAAATCTTATTTAATAACCAAGCTCGAAGAATTTTTGGCATGTGATAACAAACGTCTTAAATAAGTATCTATGTTGTTTTGAATTTTTTTGTAAACAAACATCATTTTTAATAAATTTTTGAACAATTCCTTTGGAAAATTTTAAACTCAAAATGTCACCCCTAAGTGAAAGTCAACGTGGTGAAATCACCGGTCTATATAAAAATAATGTACCAAACCACAAAATAACTAAAATTGTTGGTGTTCATAGGAAAACAGTGACTCGTACTATTCAAAATTACATTGATAACAAATGATGTCCTAATTAAATTGATTGAGGGAGAGTTGAAGCAGTCATTGAAAATAATGGATGGCCAACAAGATATTAATATTGTTATTTACTTTGTTTATCGAATTTTAAATTTTTGGGCATGATTATTATGTGCATTTTTCAACAATCATTTTTTTGATGAAAAAAATAGTCAATTTTGGTGTTTTCGCGCAATTTTTGTTTGAAAATGCGCCCGACTTTTGTCTAGAAATTTTATTAATAAGATTAAAAATAAAAATTTATTCACCCAATTGTGTAAAAAATTATTCATATATACATAAATATTCTCACTGTTATTTTTTATAGAGTGGTAGAAGAAAGTGTTCAAAAAGGTATTTATATTCGTCCTAACAGATTACCTTCATCACCTAAAAGTTCTCAAGTTCTTTTGGTATCAAACTTGAATTATATCAAGCAGATCGGAAGCTAGAAACAACACACTGCGAATAAGTTAGATAATGATAAAATACATCTGGAAAATTGAACCACAGAAAATTAATTGAAATTAATACTAGCATTCACTTGCAAGCATTGTGGCAATTTGGATCTAAATGGAGAGTTAAAGTTGAAGCCTTTGTTTAATAAATAAAAAAAATTGTAGTAGAAGTATATAATTACGTTGGAAAAATTGGTGCTGGTTTGAAAATGAAATGGTTTATGATGATCGACATGAAATTTTATACGCGATTTTTTTTTAAATAATGATCATCCGTCAATTATTTAAAATATATAATTTATATTAATTGAGAAATTATTATTGGATTTTTTTTTACAAGCTAGATATTATCTTCATCAAGCAAATTTCAATGTCATAACTTTGCTCAAGTTATCTCTGGTGAAATTAGTAATAAAAAGGTTCAAATTTTCAAATTTTGAGCCTAATAAATATATCAATTATCAAAGAATACAAGATCATTTAGCCATTGTGAAAAAAAAGTTAATGATTATTAATTAACCTTTTTAATTAATTTTGATGATGATGATGATGGTGGTGATGATGTTTTTTTGAATTGCAGACTTAACCGACTACTAACACTTTCTGAAAAAGTTCTTTATGGTCATTTGGATGATCCTCACAACCAAGAAATTATTAGAGGACAAAGTTACCTTAAATTACGTCCTGATCGTGTTGCATGCCAAGATGCTACTGCACAAATGGCTCTGCTTAATTTATTTCTGCTGGTATTCCAGAAGTAGCTGTTCCAACAACGGTTCATTGTGACCATTTAATTGAGGCTCAAACAGGTGGTGTCAAAGATCTGGAAAGAGCAATATCAACCAATGCTGAAGTTTATGAATTTTTGTCTTCTGTTAGTGCAAAATATGATATTGGGGTTTGGAAGCCTGGTTCTGGTATCATCCATCAAATTATTTTAGAAAATTATGCTTTTCCTGGTGGCCTTATGATTGGTACAGATTTTCATACCCCAAATTCTGGTGGATTGGGTATGATGGCTATTGGTGTTGGTGGTGCAGATGCTGTTGATGTCATGGCTGATATTTCATGAGAATTAAAATGCCCAAATGTTATTGGCGTTAAATTAACTGGTAAAATAAGTGGTTGGACAGCTCCCTAAAGTTATTCAATTATATGTGCATGTCTTTATTTTTGACTTTGACTGGTTTTTTAATTTATGTATTAATAATTCAAAATAATAACTAATACATGTGTATCTATTAATTATTAGATGTTATACCTAAAGCATCTGGAATTTTAACTGTAAAAGGAGGCACAGGTGCAACCATTGAATATTTTGGTCCAGGTGTTGAATCATTACCTTGTACCGGAATGGCTACTATCTATAATATGAGTGCTGAAATTGGTGCTACGACATCTATTTTTCCATTTAATAGTCGTATGAGTGACTATCTTCGTGCCACTAATCGTGCTGAAATTGCTGCCTTTTCTGATTCACTTTCTCACAATTTAAAATTAGATGAAAGTGTCAATTATGATCATGTTATAGAGATAAATTTATCTGAATTAGGGTCTCATATCAATGGACCATTTACACCCGATCTTGCTATCCCTTTGAGTAAATTTAAAGATACTGTAGAAAAAAATAATTGGCCCTCAGAATTGAAAGTCGGTTTGATTGGTTCTTGTACAAATTCTTCATATGAAGATATGTCCCATCTAAATCAATTTTTACAATCACACCTGGTTCTGAACAAATCCGTGCAACTATTTCTCGTGATGGTCAGGCAGAGATACTTACTAAAGCTGGAGGCATTGTCTTGGCTAATGCTTGTGGTCCATGTATTGGACAACGGGACCGTCAAGGTGTGAAGAAAGGAGAAAAAAACTCTATTATAACATCCTATAATAGAAATTTCACTGGACGTAATGATGCCAATCCTGCAACACATGCTTTTGTTACTTCTCCTGACATTGTGACTGCAATGCTTTTTTCTGGCGATCTCAGATTCAACCCTCTTAAAGATGCTTTGATTGGTAGTGATGGAAAACCTTTTAGGTTCGAAGGTCCAAATGGAAATGACTTGCCACCTCATGGTTATGATCTTGGTGTAGACACTTATCAAGCACCTCCAGAGGACCATGTTTCTGTTCAAGTATTAGTAGATCCTAAAAGTACCCGCCTTTAATTATTGGAACCATTTCCAAAATGGAATGGTAAGGATGCAGAAGAATTGCCAATTTTAATTAAAGTGAAAGGCAAATGTACAACAAATCATATTTCTATGGCTGGCCCTTGACTTAAATTTCGTGGACATTTAGATAGCATTTCAAATAATATGTTATTGGAGCAATCAATTCTGAAAATAGTAAAGCCAATTCAGTTAAAACAATTTTTACTGGAGAATATGACCAGGGATTATAAATCCAAAGGTAAAATACATATACACTTGATTATTCCGACGATTCTTTTACACTACACACACATATATTTTCCAATAACAGTAATAATAATAACAATAATATATTATTATTATTATTATTATTATTATTATTATATTAAAGGTGTTTCTTGGGTTGTAATTGGTGATGAAAATTATGGTGAGAGGTCTTCTCGTGAACATGCAGCACTTGAGGTCTGTCATCTAGGTGGTATTGCTGTGGTTGTTAAAATCATTTGTAAGAATTCATGAAACCAGTTTGAAGAAACAAGGAGTTTTACCTCTTACATTTTTTGATCCTTCAGATTATGATAAGATTGATCCAATTGATAAAATATCAATTATAGGACTTACTGAATTTGCCCCCGAAAACCCTTGACACTTAAAGTTCATAAAAAATCTGGCAAAACACTAGATTTAAAAGTTAATCATACATTTAATGAAAACCAAATTCAATGGTTCTACTTTAAATCTTATGGCAGAAAAATGAGCTTAATTTAAATATATAGATGAAACAAAAGTTTTATTCATTATTTTAATTTGCATAGTTAGCGAATGAACATTAATAAAGGTAATAAAGGTGTAAAAAATAAACTACTTTAAAATATTTAGAAAGTTTCATGGTGCTGGTTTCTTTTTAATCTTCTTGTATATTAAATTTATTTTGTTGATTACTCCCACTCACAAGATTAAAGATCAAAATTGCTTGAAGGAGTCCCAGAAGGTGATAATTATGAAAGAGATGAATATATAAAGATATAGATCATACTAATTATTTCATCAACTGATTGCCTACAAACAAGATAATGTCAAATTTTCCAAATTTTCTGTTGTAACATCTATTTCTTTGATTAATCGTTCTTTTCGAATCAAAGCTTCTAGTTCTTTCAATTTTTCTTCATTATCTTCCTCTTTCAATTTATCATCATTATCATTAGTGGAAGTTGTTGTAGCAGGAAGAGGCTTGATTTGAAATAATTCATTGACTAATTCGTCAAGCTCTTCAACCAATAATTTATTCTTATGTTTAATTGAATTGTTATTTTGTTTGAAATGTGTTTTCTTTTGCAAAATTTTCTTTAAAGGTTTTGAATATGTGCGTGGAGCAAATGGTTTGATTTTTTTGTTGAGTTTTTTATGTGAAGGCATTGTTATTATACTGATATATAATATATTAAAAATATAAGATTTTAAAACTGTGTCACATAATTTGATCTTAGTCTGCCAAAAATTATGTAAGAATGAATATGCATTTTGAACGAACTCATTTCTCTTTTAATTTTTGTAGGAGGGAGTAATAGGAAGATGACTTGATATCATTGTAAAGAGAAAAAATTCTAGCTTCGAAATGATGCAATATTTATTCTTCCAATGTTTCTCTCGCCAAAGTGGGAAGGAAAATCATAAAAGATAATATACTGTGTATTAAAATATTAATTCTACAATTAAAATTCCAATGCATAACTGCTATAAAAGTGAAGAAAATTTATTCATTTTCAAATTTTCTAACTCAAATCTGATTCAATTTCTTCAAATCTTATACATACACACACTCACGCACACACTCTAAATCCAATCTTCAACTTTCCAAATTTAAAAAAGAAAACTTTCGTCAATTCCATTTTATTAATAAATTTTCAATTCAAATCCCCATTACAATAATAAATCATACCTAGATCGCCTCTACTCCAGTTCAATTAGGTTTTTTCTAGTGTCAAAAATTCTGATCTGTCAGATGTTGGAATCGAGATGTGAATAATGAATATTACATTTTTTTACGTGCGGACACTTACAATGGAGAGAAACTGAATAAGGAGAACGTGCTGGTATTAATATTCACCTCTCATTTTTAATTGTGACAGGATATGTCAAACCACAACCAGCTAATATACACTATCTATTACTATAGATCCTTTATGTAACCAGCAAATTGGAACGAAGAAAAAATTCTTTCACTAATAATTCTTCGAATAGCTCAAGAAAAGAAATTCAAACAATTTTATTGATTTTTCACAATCAATAATCGAAATCGAAAAAATCGATCATAATCGATTGTGACCAGCAAATCGAAACAATCAATTTTTATCCAAGATCGATTAGCAATTGATTTTTATATTGCGAGTGGCCTTTTGATTGTTTTACATTTATGGCCAAGTTTAAGTTAACTTTTTAGCTACACTTTACGGTTAATTGCAAGCCTTCATATCCAATTATCGTCAATTAATTTATTTACAACAATTATCCTGCTTACTGCAGCTTATACCTGGAAATCTTCGGCGAATTTGTAAGCACGCAAATAATAAAAATAAAAAATAGATAATAAAAATACGAAAGAGGCTACATCACATGTCCGAAACATGATTGTATGGCACTTCGATAAATGCGTCTTATTTATCACAATAAAGTCAAACTTCGATAAGCCAAACTTTTGAGAAACCACAAAAATTGAATTCAGCTTATCAAAATTCGGTCCATGATGATGATTTACGATTATAATTACTAAATTAGTATTACTTTTAAGGTAAAAATACAGGATTATAAACCATTCAAAAGTAAAAATTTTGGATTTTAGGCACACAGATCTGCAAAAAAAAAACACGTAAAATATTTATTAGCACTCGGTGTATGAATATTTTTTTTTGGAAAAACAATTATTTTCAATGATAAAACATGAGTATTGTTGTTTGGTATGGGGTCACATTACTACACTTAGTCACGTGGGGTGCGAATAACAATTCCCTTTAATTATTGTAAAAATACAAATTACCCATTATTTCTTAGAGGATAATACTTTTATGTTAAAAATACATAAATAATAAAAATATAAATAAACTATTATTGTTATAATCCATCAGAAGATATTTAATTGATTATCTCAAATAAGTTAAGTAAATTTTACATCTATAAAAAATAAACAAAATATAAATCACTGCACATGATTTGTTAAAGCAATAATAACATTTTCTGTTTACGATCAACAATGTGTGGAAAAATTCATTGGTAATAGTAAAGGTAGTCAATTTTTTATTAACTTGTTATTATTTCATTTATTGTTTGCTTTTTAAGTTATCTTTTCTCATTTTGATTATTAATGATAATAAGCCAATTTAAATCTAGGCCATAATTATTTTTCATGGGGAGGTTGACCAAATTTTTCTTCACAAGTTACTGAACAATCATATCTTTTAAATCATTTACCTAAAAATATTCCATTGATTCATCTAAAGTTTAATTCCATTCATATACTTTCCTTCAATTTTAAAACAATTATAAAAAACTACAAAGTGAACATAAATTATAAAATTATATATATAGGGATAAGTGTATATGAAAAGTAATAGTAAATATAATTGCTCTAATGAATATCAGAAAGCAGTTGATTTTTTAGAAAAAGGTTGTAATTGTGGTCGTTCTTCAAGAATTCCCAAGGAACAATTTGCAGAATTAAGGGAATTCTTTCAAGCTCTTTCTAAATCAGAACAAGATATATTTTTAATGGCCCTACTTAAACAATGGATGGGGGATTAATAAATACTAGTAGATGACTTAAAAAGAAAACTAGGTCTAACAAAAGGGCTTTCTATCATTGGGATCACAATACACATCTTTGTTAAGAAACTTATTTTGAAAATATCAGAAATCATCTGATAAATCATAGTCTTTTAACAAGAGTTCATAGTAATATTAAAAGGATGCCTAATGAAAAATTAAAATGGTGATTGAAAAAAATGTTGCTGAATAGTAAAAATTTTTCTGGAAAATTATGCAGAAGTCCATGGATTACCAAGTCCAGGAAGGAGTGTCAATAGAATAACTCAGTCAGTTATCTTTTTACCAGCTGAAATGAGTTATAAATAGTGTATAGAGATTTTCTAGCTGGTCTGGAAGAAGATGGCAAATTAAAATCCTAAAATATGATGCATTTAGAAAACTATGACATCAATTAACACCAGAGATTCAAATTATGAGTCCAAAGACCGACTAATGTGATACTTGTCAACATTTTCGAAATGGTTTACATTACAATGCTCGCCAGGAGGAAGAAGCTAAAGATTTATTCAAAAGATTTAAAGAACATCTATCCAAGGCAAGATTAGAAAGAAATTATTACCAAAAAACTATAGACGGAATTAGGAATTGCTGAAGATACTACTGAAAACACTAACAAAAGGAACTTAATTCAGGAAGTCCAACGAATAACGAAAATCTATGCGCAAAAAGATGATAAAAAAATAAAGGTCTGCTTTGCCACCGAGCAAGCCCCGCCAGAGCAATTAAAAGATAAGCCGGGAGCAACCGAAATTAAAGAGGATGAATACAATATTTACTTACAATTAGAGAGAAAAGACAAACAAGGGAATTTTTGCCCTAATTTAGTCTTCTGAACTCTAACTAATGAACTTTCGACAATAGGCGGTGGTGAAACAGCCAAAAACCTGACTTTTGGCAGCATTTTGAACAACAACAATTATGAGATAATAAAAACACTAAATTGGCAGAAGAACAAAGAAAATTAGTTGATCAACATTATTCAAAGGTGAAACATCGTATTGCAGTATTGATGCCACTGCTCATTACAGTTATGATCTTAGCCCCACCTTTAATATTATTAAAATAAAAATACACACATGTTTGTAGGTGAGGCTTATTTAATTATTATTCTTCATCAGTTCCTTCAGAAAGACTTTTTTATGATGCGGGACAACAAATTACTTTGTTATTAACAAGGGACTCTCTTTTTTTATTTTTCTATTGGTCAAAATTTTACGCGTTGATTTTATGGTATGATCATAACCTTCAAAAATCCATTGGTTTGACGGCGGAACAAATAAATTTCTTTAGTGTAGCTTGTTAAGTCGGATGCAAGCAATCAATTGTTTAAATAAATAAATGGCCGACCTGCCGAGTTTACATGTGTGTGTAGAGGGTTTGAAAAAAAGGGCCAAAAAACCAAATCGGCTGATGTGCCTAATGACCATTGGTCATTAAAAAAATGTGTGATATCATCCATCAGCTTTTAATTAAATTTTTACAATGTTCATTATTAAAACAATTAATAATAATAATATAACAAAAATATTTATTTTAATATATATATAATTTAATATCTATTTATTTCTCCTCCTCCTCCTCCTCCTCCTCGTTATCATCATCAACAACATTATCATCATCATCAATAACATTATCATCTACATTATCATCATCATCAACAACATTATCATCAACATTATCATCATCATTATCAACAACATTAGCATTATCATCATCATCATTATCATCATCGTGATCGTCTTGGTTTTGCTGACGTTGTTGCTGTTGTTGCTGTTGTTGCATCTATTTAAAAAAAATTTTTTATATCCATACTTTTATTTGATGGTGATGATGATAATAATAATAATAATAATGGACCTACCTTTTGCCACCAAGCATGAGCTGTAGCTGATAATTTAAAGTTTGGTTTTTGAGTTTGATCATCAGGAAATATATAATCAAAATATTCTTCCCATGAAACACCACCAGTGTGACCCTCAGCGTCATCCAATTTGCGTCTTTTCTTAACAACTTTAGGCATTTTTCCTTCAACAACCGATAAACTATCTTCAGTACCATGATTACTTTCAAAATCTTTCCAAGATTCTAATAAAAGAACTCGCTATAAAAAGTTAACAAAAAGTATTATATTAATATAGATATATTAATTTAATGTTTATAAAAAAAATTGCAAATAAATACAACACCTCTTCTTTTAAATCTCTTTCTTTTATACTATTATAAGCTCTTTCAAACACTTTACGAGCTTTTTCTACAGAAACCTCTTTATTTCCTCCTTCTTCAGCATACAATTCAAATTGTGCAAAACTAATCCACACTTTAACGTGACCTGTCTTCTCTAACAAACGTTCATACAATTGTCTTGTCTTATCAAATTCTTGTTCTGAAAATTCAAAATCAATATATGCCTTCCATAAAAGTTCTGGCATATCTATTATTGGTTGATCGACTGCCAATTCAAAAATACCACGACATCGATCATAATCACCCAACATTTTTTCTAATTCTGCAAATTTAATCCATGCATAACAGTTTGCTGGGTTATATTCCAAATATTTATAATATAGAGTACGACAACGATCAAATTCTCGTAACTTTTTTTAAAAGAATATATTAATCTTTTTATAATGAATTTTAAAAGCCTCATGCAGTATATATTTATTTACCTGTAATTCCAATTCAATATATCCTTTAAAAAGCCTATCTTTTGGGCACATCCCTAATACCAAAAAAATATATATATATAAGATAATAAGTTAATTTTTCTTCTAAACAATATATAATAAAAATTAATTCAACTCACCAATTGCAGTACCCAAAGTTTTTCTTGCAGCCTTTAATTCTAAACGTCGTATTTCAAATTGCGCATAAAGCAACCATATTTTTGCAAATGTAAATCGTTTATGAGGTATTAATTTTAGACATGCCTGATAAATTTGTCGTGTTCTATCATAATCCTTTAATAAAAAAATTTTTTAGTATTAATAAATTCTTACAACTTTAAATATAATATAACAACAATACTTTACTTTAGTTACAAGTTCTTCATATAATGCATAATTTATCCATAAATATATATAACGACGCCAAAACCTTTTTTCATCAGTTGGTGGTACTTCAACTATTGCACGTTCATAAATTTCACGTACTCTTTCCTCATTGCCAGAATTTTCTTCTAATTTTGCATAATCAAACCATACATCATAATTTTTAGGATTTTTTGCTAATTCCTAAAAATTTATTTTTAATTTACAAAAATGATAAAACTCATTTAAAGACTAATTTAAAATATTTAAAAAATGCCACATACATCATCGTATTGGACTCTTCTTTTTCCTACTACAACATCTTCAATGCTTTCTTTATCGCCATATTGTTTTTCAAATTGTGTGTATGCATTATAAAGTGATTCAGATTTAGACCTTGGTAATTTTTCCAAAGAATATTTATAAATAATTCTTGCTCTTTCATACTATTGAATCAATAGTTATAATTATAATAATCACCAAATAGATAAATAATTTATTACTAGGTTAAAAGATAAATTTTTAAAATGTACCTAATAAAGATATAATTTCTTGTTTGAATTGTGGTAAAAGACACGCACCTCTTTCAACCTTGTTTCAAATTTTGCAAATGCAATAAAAATCTTTTGATCCATTTGATCTTCTCCCAAAATTTCAATAGCATGACTGAAAATTTCTCTACACCTTTCTAATAAAAAGAAATTATTGATATTTAATCACAAGAATTTAAAATTTGCACATATAAAATACATATACTTTGATAAAAAAATTTTTTTTCATAATTAATTACCTAAATTATTTTGACCTTCCTCAAATTTAACCCATTTTAACCAATTTTTAGGTTCAGGATGTACACTCACAAATCTTTCATATATTGCTCTAGCTCTATCAATTTCGCCATACCTTTTTTCCATTTTTATATAAGAATTCCATGCTGATTCATCTGGTTCCCATTGCATCCAACGTTCAAAAATCTGTCTTGCGCCTGCAACATTACCCAACATCTCTTCCATATAAGTGTATCTGTACCTTTTTATTAAAATTAAAATTATAATTTAAAATCATAATGATGATGATGATGATGATAATGATGATAATATTTTATAATATTTACCAGAATTGATCAACCCTTGGTAATAATGTTACAGCACGATCAAATAAATTTCTGGCATGGTTGATATTACGATTTTTCATTTCCATTTCAGTATATTTAATGTATAAAGTGACATTTCTTGATTCAACATCTAATGCTCTTTCATATACAGATCTTGCTCTTTTAAACAATTAAAAACGAGGAAAAAAAAAATTAACACATCTCTATAAGAATTAAAATCGCATAATATGATCAAGAAAATACCTATTTAATTCTTTTTGACTTTCTTCCCATGCTGCATATTTTAACCAGCTACCAACATTTAATCTGTTTCTTCTTATAGCATCTTCAAATTCTTTTCTTTTACGTAAACGATACTCGGATAGCTCTTCTAAATCTGAGATTTTTTGCCGAGGAGCTTTTTTTGCAGATTCTTGACGTTCTTTAGCTTCTCGAAGAATTTGTTCAGCAGTAATTTGAATTGGAGCTGGATTTTTATTTTTGATCTAGAATGAAATCTATATAATTAGTTTTTTTTTCTTTCTTGTTTTATAAAAAAAAACCTATATATATTTATATTAAACAAGTTTAATCACCTTAGGAGGTCCACGTTGTTGTTTATAAAGATTTGGGACTTGATCTGGATCCATTTTTATTATTATTAATATATATCTAAATTTTATTTAGTAGTAGAATTTTTAAAATTTTAAAATCTGGTTACTGTAAATATGTAATTAATGTTGTGTGTAACCTTTAAATTTTTCTGGAACCTCGCAACTTCAACATCAAAAAAAAAAAAACACCAAACTCTAGTGATTGACTCATCGTGATTCTAGTAATTTAACAATAAGAGGATTTCTTTTACGAAAACTGTACCTTATGTATCATGTAAAGGTTGTTCTACGTACCAATATTGACCAGCCTATATGTATTCCAAACTTCCAAACTCAGACGCTAAAGACAGCTCAAACGCGTTTTTATTTTATTGTGTGCTTATTATTACGTTCAAAGTCAAAAAATCGAAAAAAACATCAAGTTAGCACAACTTTACATATCAATATTGACATGTCTACGTGCGTTTCAAACTCGAGCACCAAAGACAGACAAAGTCACTAATTACTTTTTTTATCGGATGAAAGAAGCACTGCTTGTCGAAAAGTTACTGGGCAATTAAATTATTGCATTTCTTTCTGGTTTGGCCTGAAAGAAGATGAATAAGTTAAATCAGAAATGTACAGGAATTGACTTGGTAGAAAGTCTTGCGCCAGAAAATCGAGTATGTAAATGTTAGGATATTACTCGTTATAAAAGGTACCAAATTAATATTGTTAATTTGACAAGGGTTCTTGATCATCCTCGTTTTTTAAGGAGGTTTAAAACCGATTATTATAATTGAGGTAACATCCAGGCTATTAGTAAATTTTAGAAAACTTTATGTAACATTTTTCTCCTTTACCCATAGCATATAATAATAACATGTAAAAGATTAAAAGCCTTGCCCATACCATTTGAAAAAATTATCCATATTTTCACTAATTCTTGGTAAATCTATCCATACCTTAAAAATAAATTTTTGTAATCCAAACCTTCTTAAAATTGATGTAAAAATTAAATTTTCATTAACTTTTCTAGTTAAAAGCTATTCAAGGGTAGAGTGTAGTCATGTGATTTTCTAATGATCAGCAAGGATAAATAATTCCTGAACCTCTTTTAAGTCACTCGCCTCATACATAGCTACACCAAAAACTAGTTTTCGTGAGATGAAAATTAATACAAAAATCCATTTTCATATAGCAAAGGGAGTGCCCAAAATGACATCATTTCCCTCTGATACAAAATTTATTTGGTATATATACAGTATATCACAAAAATTCAGTGTTGGCAATGACAGTTATTTAACTTTTGAACTGTCAGTTAAATAACTGGTTCAAAAGTTAAATAACCAGTTCAAAAAATCATTTGAACTTGTGAACTAGAGTTGTCTTCCGAAACTCATGAGTTTAGAACTATTCGAAATCTAAACCCTTCTAAACTGGTTTAGAAAATGGGCCAGAATTCCTAAACTGTTCGAAACTCCTAAACTGTTTCGAAACTCCTAAACTGTTTTCGAAACTCCTAAACTATTTTCGAAACTCCAAAAAATTCCAAACCAAACAAATAAATCTTTATTTTTTTATTTTTTCTTAATAAAAAAAAAACAACCAAAATACTACTATTATCATTATTAATAAAATTTTTTTAAAAAATAATAATTTTTACATATTTGATGGAGGTGAAATTTCAGGAATTGCATCAAAATCAAATACTTCTTCAGAACTTTCTTCCATATTCTCATCTTCTACCTCAATATTATCATTTAAATCGTCATAATCCTCATTAAATATTGGATTATTAAATCAACCATCTCATTAATAATTAAAACATAAACATCTTCATTTGGTATTTCTAAATCCTTCTTCACCTTCACTATCATCTTCACTATCACCTTCATCATAGTCTTCATCATTATCATCAAAAAATCCACTTCCTTGGACTAGAGATCTTAGTTCTTCTTCAGATCTTTCTTTAGATTCATAATTCAACTCATTTTTAATATTTGAATATAAATAATATCTAATTTTTGCCATATCTTCAATTGTAGACAAACTAAGACATTGCCGTCTTTTTCCATACAAGAATCCTAGTGCAGAAAATGCTCTCTCACAAGCAGCATTATGAGGAGTGATTGAGAAAATTTTAATTGCTAAACTCTTTACATATTCATTTGAATCATCAATAACTTGCCACCAAGTTCTTGGTCTTGTGTAAGAAGAAGAATATTGGATAGAAAAAACACCTTCTGAACATTTAAAGTTTGCCATTTGACCTATTAATTCTGCTACTTTATTATTAGAGTGATTTTTTTTATTCATATTCCTCCTGCATATTTAGTTAAATTTGGCCAAATAGTTGATTTTAAACCAACTCCTAAACAAAAATAAGATGTCAATAATTTATATATATATTAAATTCTTTTATAATAAAAAAAAATGTTAAATGCTTACCATGGTATAATGGGTGAAGAAAATACGCAAGCAAATATGGATGTATTTCAAAAGATTCCCATCTATTATTGATGACTTTAATACAATGGTTCCTAAATTCAATTAATCCATGTTCAGGTGAAATTTTGTTGATATTTACTGCAAGTTTTACAAGTTGGATGAAACAATCTGCAAGGTTAACATTTGTTCCTTCCAAATTGAGAATTGCTTTTTGTAATGGCAACAATACAGAAGTTACCAGCCCAACATCATGAAAAAAACCTCTTAGACCAAGAATATGTTTCACCTTATCATTTGTAAGTAAATCTTTATGTCTTTCATAAATCTTTATTTAAATTGAAAATTTTGTTATCATATATTATAATCTTACAAATGACAAAATAAAAAATAAATAAGAAAGTAATTAATATTTAAACCTTTTCCAATGGTTGTTTGAGTTGGAGGACAGAGTTAGTGGTCTCAAACATTGAAGTCCATCTAGTTGGTGTGTACAAACGAAGTCCACCACCTTTAATACCATATTCATCAATATATTTTCTTAATAATGCTCCAACTCTGTGGGAAGTTTTAAAAAAATGGCTAATTTTGTTACATTGTTTAACAACTTTATATGGAAAGGAGTGCTCTAATTGTAATGTTTTTTAAAATATAGATTATTAAACCATAAAATAATATTAAAAAAGCCTAAATTTTAAAAAAACATACTCATAATATCTTTTGTTATCAAATTCACACAGTGTGCTATACAATTGGTATTCAAAGTGAAAGGATATTTTTCTGAAATTTGTTTTCTTGCACTAAGAATTGCTGAAGCATTGTCCCTCACTACAGCTGCAAATTTGTTTGGCCCAATTCTGGATAAAACACGTTCAATTTCATCTCTTAAAATTTTTGCAGTATGACTAACATCAGATAAATCACATAATGAATAGAGATATTCTTTGTTATCTGCTGTGGTGATCATAAAATTATAAATGGAATAACCTTTAGGGTTGCTCCAACCATCAATGCCTATTTTTTAAATTGGAAAATAAAAACAAAGAATATTATATTAATTTTAATAAAATAAAACATTCATACCCAATGTCAAGTTGTTAGCCTTTTCTAAAATATTATTAATTTTTATATCCACACGAACAGCTTCATCTGATAATAATTTAATACTAAGACAACCTTGTGAAGGAGGTTTATAATTTGATCTGAGATTTTTTAACATGTTAATAAAAAAAGGAGTTTCAATTATTCTAAAGGGGATACCACAAACCACAAAAGCCTTTAAAATTGAATGATCTATAATTCCTGCATGTTCTTTTGATAATATCTCATCTTCATCCCAAAAATTAGCAAATGATTGTGTATTTGCTTTATATGCTGTATTTTCTAAAGATTCATTTAACCATATCTTTCTGCAACAATATACATATATCTTTTTTTGATCTCTTCTTTAATGTATTCATATTCATGTGCCAAATGGACTTGCAGTTTATTAACAACTCTATTACTCCATTCACAATTATATGCTTTGAATTTGGCTCCAAAATGTCCCAGATGTTTTGAAGGATAACATTCAAAATGTTGCCAAACTACATTTTTTGGTTGCCCACCAAGTTTTTTTGAATTGATGAACTATTTATATCAACATCAATATTGTTTGACATTTTTGTGATTAAAAAATTTATATATTTTAAGAAAGAGGAAAAATTATATTAGAACAAATAAGGAAATTATAATATATTTTTAGGGTCTGGGACACTTTACCAACATCCACTTTACTGACAGGACATTTTTACTGACACCCACTTTACCAACAAGACACTTTACCAACACTTTACCAACAGGACACTTTTACTGACAATCAAAGTAAAGTCGGACTTGATGTAGAAATGGTCTTGTGAGGAACACCACAACCCCCACAGAAACCACAAGATTGTAATCATGAAATACAGATTCAAACAGTATTAAATGGTCGTAACATTATATCAACTATAAAGTTTCTTCAGGGCATTGCCCATAATATTTCATTTTAAAATTTTTTTTGTTATTTTTTTTTAAAAAAATTTTTTTTTGTGATATAAAAATAACAATAATTAATTTGTCACAATAAAAGTTTTTTGTAAATGATTGATAAATAAATAACATGAATATGCAATTTTTATCAATTCATCAGACAAAAAAAAAAATAATATTACACATGTATCTATATTGTATTTTTATGAACTGGTTTTTGATGCAAAGTAAGGATAATAAGTGGTGTTATTAGTTAATTAATGGTTGATTTAACTTGTTGTAAAAAACCAAAATTTTAGCTAGTTATCCAGGTCTTCACACAGTCCTTGGCAAATTATTAACACAATACTTGTTGGTAAAGTGTCCTGTTGGTAAAGTGTCTTGTTGGTAAAGTGTCCTGTCAATAAAATGTCTTGTTGATAAAGTGTTCTGTTGGCAAAGTGTCCTGTCAGTAAAGTGTCCTGTTGGCAAATTTTCCTGTCAGTAAAGTGTCCTGTTGGCAAAGTGTCCTGTTGGTAAAGTGTCTTGTTGGTAAAGTGGGTGTCGGTAAAGTGTCCTGTCGGTAAAGTGGGTCCAACATCCATATAAAGTGTGTATCA